TTCAAAACGAGTCTAATATTGAATAGTTTAGGACTTAATCTTATATTATTAAATATTATTAATACTTACAAATAATTTGTACGTATTTATGATATTTAATAATATGATTAAAAGTGTAGGTTTTAAAAATATTTTTTAAAACGACGGCCATATGTGGTATGAAAAACAGACGACAATGGCTGGCAAGGGGAAGCAATGTCGTTGGGTGCAAGGAGATTGGATGATGTAGGTTTGACTAGGGGTACTCATGGGTTGAGTTGATCTGATTGAAGACATTTGAACAACCCAACCCAATGTTTGCGGTTTGAAAAATCTTAAACCAAGCCAACCCAAACGAAAGTGCAACCCAACTCAACCCAAACCGTACGGGTTGGTTGAGTTTATACTTTGGTACATTAAAATATTATTTTAACCTTGAATATGTTAATTCTCCACCGATAATTTCTTTTTTATCATCAACCATTTGATACAACTTATCGATACTTCTTACGTATATCACATTTAGTTAATTTTCTTAATTTACGTATATATGTTTACAGAACCTGAACATATACGAATGAGTTATATAGAGATGTGTATATGAATAATGTACGTGATAGTATAATTAACTAGTCTATATATTAATAGAAATTCAACAATCATATTAAATCCAAGAATAAATGAATATCGGATTCATCGGGTTGGGTTAGGTTCAAATAATAGTAACCCAATATCAACCCAATACATATGATTTATTTAAAGTTAATTTGGTTCAATGGTAAAATACAAGTTTAACATACAAGTTTGCGTGTGATTTAATATAATTTTTAAAAAAGAAAAATAAAAGCAATCCCCCCACCCCTAAACTCCCATCTTCATCCCTTCCCCCGATTCCGCACGGCGATCGGCGAACCCTCTATCGCCACCTCCCCTTCCCTTCCGATCACGGCATCATCTTTAACTTTTCCAGAACAATAAACAAATACATTTCCTCTATCATCTGCGCCATCCATCATCCTTCTCCCCAAACTCATATACCACTAAACCGCCGAGAACTTTAATATTCAAAAGGGCAGAGTTAGGGCTTTTTTACCAAATGTAAGCGTTTATCCAGTTATATTACATTAATCAATGAATATGATAAGCACCAAGAATCTTATCCAAGGTAACCACCGAGAATCTAACCTGGTTAGCACACTTGCCGGTTAAATTTTTGCATACGATACCGTTTTAGTTGATTAAAATCTTACCCGGTAAGGTAAGTGATATGTTAAATTTAACCGGTAAACACTTACCGGGTAAATGAATTTGTAAACGGCCCCTTAGACCAATTCCTTTTGGGAACTCGGTGTATCCGTCCCGACCAGGGGTGGGAATTCTTGTAAAACTAGGGATGGATAGGGGGATCCCCTAAGGTTAAAAACTGGAGACAGAGACAGTTAACGTGATCCCTAACTTGTCCCGTTCTCGTATATTAAATATTTATCATTAAATGTTATATTTATAAAGAATTTGATTTAGTATTTTTTAGATCTTGAAAAAGTATTTTGACCTTCTGGTTTTTATAATTTTGATTTTGCCTCAATCTTTGTTGATATACCGCTTTGAATCACATGATTTTCATTATAATTTGGTTTTGGTATTTTTGATTTAAAGATTTTAACGGAGATTGGAAACCTGGCCCCATTCTCGTACCTAATCTCTAGATCTATGATATATTAGGAATTGTAATCCCATCCATATTTCTCTCGGATCATCTCCAACTCAATCACTAAAAATAGAACACTGAACATGATATGTTTATTGAACAAAAAAAAGCAACTTGAACCACACACTAAAAAAATTGTTAATACTATAATAACAATAACTTAATATGTTAAACTATTAAATATATATATATATATATAGAGAGAGAGAGAGAGAGAGAGAGAGAGAGAGAGATAGATGAGATCATATGAGTTCAGACTGTTTTCGTGAGACCATTTTTTACACTTCTTGAAATTTCACACTAAAACACTGTGAAGATAACTTTCACAATATTTTTGCTGTGAAGGTTCATATTTTTTTTACTTTCACAATATCTTACTGTGAAGTTTCAAGTATAAAATGTGGTTTCACGGATCTCACAAAAACAAGTTGGTCTCATGTGAACTCAACCCTTAATATCACGTGAGACCATGTTGTTTTTGTGAGAACCATGAGATCATTTTTTTTACACTTGAAACATCATAACAAAATACAGTGAAGGTAACTTCACAGTGTGAAGTTTGAAATGTAAAAAAGTGGTCTCATGGATCTCACGAAACAATCTGGTCTCACGTGAACCCAACCATATATATATATATATATGTGTGTGTGTGTGTGTGTGTATTACACTATTATAATCATCTCGTTAATATGTTCAAAACGAGTTTAATATTGAATATTTTTAGACTTAATCTTATATTATTAATACTACAAATTATTTTTAAATACTTACATTTTATACTTACAAATTATATGTATATATATTACACTATTATAATCGTCTTGTTAATATGTTCAAAATAAGTCTAATATTGAATATTTTTGGACTTAATCTTATATTATTAATACTTACAAATAATTTGTACGTATTTATGATATTTAATAGGTTTTAAAAAATATTTTTTAAAACGACGGCCATCTATGGTATGAAAAACAGACGACAATGGTTGGCAAGGGGAAGCAATGTCATTGGATGCAAGGGGATTGGATGATGTAGGTTTGACTAGGGGTGTTGATGAGTTGGAATGATTAGATTGAATATATTTGGGTTAAAATGTAGATAATAAATTTTAAAAAGTTCTATAATCTATTTATTTATATAAAAAATTTTAGAAATTTAAGCATTCAAAATTAAAAAATTCAATAATTCAATTAATTTAAAAAAAAAATCGAAAACTTAATCATTTAATATAAAAAAA